CGGGATCCGGGCCGGAGCTACAGGCCGAGCTGAGGGGCAAGGGCGAGCCCATGCAGCACGCACAGCGCGCTCGCACTTCTACCTCCCGGTTAAAAAATACAAGTTACCCAAACTAAATACCAGGCTCCAGCCACGAACGAGGGTGATTTCCCCCAAAATTATTCTAGTTCCGTCCCGGTGATCTTATCCCTCCCCTCCTTCTCCTATGATTTTTGGCTTGCAGCATCTGAACTGTTTGTACACTGACAGACACCAGATGCACATTACAGACCTGCCGTGTCAACCAGCACAGGTTTGTGAACCACTGTCTTATCCAAACATCAGCAGGTATAGCCCAGGCGGTGCTTTTACAAGTGTACATATATATGTATGTACAGGTATAGCATTCTTCGCTTATAGACAGCACTACAAGATGAAAATGACATTACTATAAGAGCACCTTGCCAATAACACATCAGTCTACTCACAGCAGCAGAGATCTCCTGGCACAGTGAGAGGTCATGATGTTAACACAAGCATCTGAATAGCACAGGGTAAATGAGTCCTCTCTGTTTCACCTGTATTGTATTCAGTGACCGACTGGAGCATTAACACATGCAAGCAGCATCCCTAAATGTGACACTCATTCTTTACTATAAGAGTATGTTGCATTGAGGTAGGGGGAGTAAACGCACAGCTCTCCAGATGAGAGAAAAACCAGAGAGGCTGTCAGCTCCATCTGCTCTGGACTACTATACAGTAACAGGAGAGTGCTGTAAATGTCACCACACTACCTGGCAATTTTAGCAGCTACTGGTGATTTTTATAGCAGATGATCTGAATGCTTCAGCTGTCCCAAACCCTCCCTCAGTACTCTCTTGCCAGGGAAAATAAGCATATCCCTGTAAATAACACATCACAGGTAGAAAACTTCACTTTCGACATGCAGCTCACCAGAGATACAGAAAGCATTCTCTGAGCTTAGAGGTGTTATCAGTGGGGTGCTGAGGAAGGAAAATATCTGTGACATTCCTGAGAAAACAGAGCAATCTGGCTAAGGGATTGTGGACCAGCAGAGATAAGAGCAAGAGCTCAGTGGCCACACTGCTCTCTAATCATAGTTTTCTTGAAAGAAGCAGGAGAGTGCATTTTTTGCAAGTCCCTCTCTCTCTCTCCCTCCTTGTTTAATAATCTTTTCTCACATGCCTGAAAGCAATCTTTGCGTGTCAGAGTTGCAAGGTTGCCTTTACAGCACCAAGCTAATCGTACTGTACACTGTATTGCCTGCTCTTTTCCCCCACAGGTCATCCAAAGGTTTCTAGACTACACCTTCCTGAAGAGGCCCCGAGAGTAAGTTTTATGCCCTCTCTGCTCAGAAAAGCTTCCCTTCAAAGAAAATTCTGTGAAAGCAGCAAACTCAAAACAGTAAGTAGGGGTTGTGTGAGGTTGAAGCACTGAGCAGCACACAAGTGAAGCTGATTTCAGATTTCATGGTTGTGATGTCTTATTTATTCCCAAATGAAAACAAACAAAACTGTCCAAAACCAAACAAACAAATACCCCTCCCCAAAATACCCACAACCCCAACCAAACAAGTAATTTCCTTGTCGTAATAAGATATCAAAGAAGTTCTCAGATGTCAACAAAGGACAGCCTTTCTCCATTGAGCTAATCACTCTCAGAGCTTTTCCATTCAGCCACACTGTATTTTAGCATTCTCTTTTTTTCCCACATTCAGCATCCTGCTTATTCATATCTCCTAATCTCTTCAGGTTCAAAACCAGGAACTTTATCACTTCAACTGAAAGATGGACAACTTTCAGATGCCACTGATTCCTTTTTGGTCCAGACAGCATTGCCTACACTCATCTGGGGAAACAAACAAAAAGGATATTAAAAAAGGAACTCCAGGAAAATAACAATGCACCCTAACTGATCTGAAACCACTTTGTCTGTTCTGCAGAAGTGCATTTAAATAGCATCACAACAAGAATTTAAGTAGACATTCCTCCTTTTCCTGTTTCCTTTTGGCTATTTCCCCTGTTCCTGAATATTGCTGCCTATGCCATTTACTGCCATGTATTTCACTGATTTAAGACATGCAGCACACAGAGTATAGGCTGGTTTGTTAATGCTCTAGACTGATAAATCCCCAGTGAGGAACCACTATCTGGCAAAGGGAGACTGACTGTGCCCCCCCTCACTGTGATGCATTTGTTTTGTAACAGATTACTTAATACCAATCCCGAGACTCAGGGAATCAGTGTAGGCTGTGTGCCCATTCCACTTCTCAGCTATAAGTAAATATTGAGCTGAAACAGAAGCCAGCCTAGACAAGCTTTAAATTCAGAATTATCAACCTTGTAATTATAGATGTAAAATCTCTGAAAGCAATTGTCTGTTTGGATGTGTTTTCTCTGCTCCCAGCCAAGGACTCTGCTATCAGCTGAACCATCCTCAAATTCCATGACGACACAGCCAAGGAAGGTTTGATTACTTGGCTCAGTCCAAAATTTTTCATGAACAGGCTGCTTTGCCTGGACCTGAAGGCACAAGATAGATATTATGCCCTGTTTTCCAGGGAAAAAAATTAATGCCAAGTTCAGAAGACAGAGGAGTATCTTCCACTGCATCTCCTCCTGAGAATGCAAATTCTTGTCATAGAAGAAGAACAGGAACTGTTGTTACTCATAGCCTAGCCACTCAACATTAGATGGTTGTCTCATGTCCTTGGATCTAGTCTTGACTCAGACAAGAAGGTAAATAATTATAATTACGGTATTACATTTTTCTCTTTTACCGGTCTGCTTCTTAACCTAATGGTACAACCTGAGTTAACTTAAATTCTGATTTCTGCTTACTTGTTTATACAAAGCTACTCCTAACTTTTCTTATTCTGTTCTTTCTAAATGCCATTTGCTTCCCTCACTTTCTTATTAGGTGCCTAATGGGAATTCAGAGACACCTCATTACCCCAACATTGCCCTCAGCACCCAATTAGCTAAAACCTCTCCAAGCAGCAGCTAATTGCAAGTTCAACTCTGAGCCTTGGAATTCCAAAGAGGAGTTTAGGAGCTGAACTTTTAGCAAAACAGACAGACTGGCACCTCTGTCATCCAGTGAGAGTCAAGTTGGAGGGAAAAACCTCTGCAAAGCAGGTAGGGACCTTGCCTGACTTTTTCCAATCCCTGAGACAAACTGTAGTGCTTCCTATTCCAAAGATGTGAAATCTTTCAATTTGCTCTGTACCACTGTGTCCAGATTCCTATTCCAAAGATGTGAAATCTTTCAATTTGCTCTGTACCACTGGGTCCAGATTTCAGTTCTGATTTTAGGAATAATTTAACTGGATCCCACTATGGATGCTCAGTCCCTTAAAAAATTCAACTTAGTAAGGCATGTGGTTAAAAGATGATACTACACCTAGCTGAAAATTAGTTTATAAATTGCAATTGTAAGGCAATGCTCAGTAAGATGACAGGGTGCTAGAAAATGCTAATGACCCCTGGTGAGTCTCCAACAAATGGAATTCTTTTTCATAGGAACTTTTAACATCACAACAACAGGTGTTTGTTTTCTTTTTATCATTCCTCCCATGAGCAGTTTTCTTACTGTTGTGCAGATAAGACACTTTAATGAACTTTCTTCAGTTTTATTATCTGTATTCTTTCACCTTCCAAATGCCACTAAAAATCTTTGATCAGAAACCACCAGAACACCTCCTGTAGGTCTCCTTTGGCTATACAGCAAAAAAGTTAGAGAAAAAACTTATTTTCTGGCATTTTGCAAGGTTTTCAGATATCAGACACATAACTATTATAGAAAACTATATTTAAAAATGTTTTGTGGCTTTTCACTTGTCTGTTTTAAAAACAAACCATAGTTAAAAACTGATGTAACAAAAGCAACAGCATGGAAGAGATGGCCAAAACCAAACAAGTTATTTTTCTCACTTTTTATTACACAGAAGCTATTTCTATATACTTCAGTTGGTGAAACTGAATGCTTGATGCAGACACCTGACACTAAGGCATGAAAACATGTTCCTCTTTTGAATAAAAAACCAGAACACATTTGGGTAACACTACATTTCTCACAGCAATAAATTACTTTATTTATGCAATCTACCACAAAAAAACAAAAAACAAAAAACTAAAGGGGAAATGTCAACATACACCTCAGTTTTGTTGTTTTCTCAAAGTGTTCTGATTCTTTGGGTGTCACTGAGCCTGCTGCTTAGGGTAGCTAATCAGAATAGGTTGAGCATCCATTGGTCCTACCAGGAGCAGATCTGCAGTCTGCTGCACATCTTCCAAGATGAAATTCTTGTCCCAGGAATTCTTATAGTTGAATTAAGGTCGCTGATAAACACTGCAAGCCTTAGGACAGGAAGAGAAGAGGTAAGTGGTAACAGCAAATAAGTCTCTATACAGCTCATGCTTATTTTGATGACTGAGTGCATCTGCTGAGCCTGGGTAGTGATGCACTCACTCAGAAAATCTTAAAGGGGGTCAGTTTTAATACAACTGTACTAAATTACTCCCAGCAGAAGTATCTCATCAGACAGATGACCGTCCTGCTGCTACTTATAAATAGTAGGCTCCAAAATTCAAGCAAACACATTCCCAAACACACAAGCAAAATTTCAGTCAAAAATCGACCGGCTCTTCAAATACAAGCCCTCACGCGTCATCCAGCTAACAGCAAAACACAAATCAAGATATAAAAGATTGTGGATTGTGGAAATGAAGCTGAGGAGTTTCACGAGAACCTTCATTTCTCTGCTTTCACTTCTTTGGACCGCTGACCCATCTTAGCTAATTGAAAACGCTCTTCCTCTCCGGAGGCAGCCGCAGTAAGAGCAATGTTCCAGCGCGGCACCACAGCCGGAGCTGTCACAGCCGCTGTCCGCACTCGGCCGCCAGCAGCGCCCAGGTAGGAGAGGGAGGAGGCGGGAAGCCATTTCCTACCCTCCCATCCCTGCTCCCGGCAGCCAAGAGCACGGAAACTGGCTCAGGAGCTTTCTGAGCTGGAGGCTCAGCCCCAGCACCACTGACCGACCCGGCAAGGATCGCTTTCGAGCATGCTTCTGCTTGAAGACAACACCCGTAGCTGAGCGTGCCTCAGTCACGGGCACAGAAAGCGACACCGCACGGCCGAGCGCAGCGCCCCTCCCCGCTCCCACCCCCCAAAGCGTGACGGGA